ACCAGGTTCGTGCATCCGAGGTCATGATCTTCTTTCGAAAAAACGTCAGCATAGTTTGATAAAAGTTCTTTTACCTGAAGAGCCTGTGATGATGACAAATGGACTATGCTCTTCTAATATAGGTCAGTCAAATATTCTGGATATGTATGTCCTTTCTTTACAGTTGCATTCCTTGCTTTAACATTGACTGGCTCTACCTCCTGGCACACTCCCAACAATGCCCCTTCCTTAAGTGTCTGCTCACATTTAGAGAAATTGGCCACTGTTATAGGTACTACTTGTCGACCTACTACAAGTAACCTTCCAATCTTCAAATCCGCTGGCCTGGATGGGTCTTCCACTGCTTCTACAAGCATTGGGCTTCCATGGGGATGTTCTTTTATCCTACCCCAAATTATCTGACATAGGAGGTATTGTAGTTTGATTTTCCACCTCTCGTTTCCGTTTTTTTCTCGTTCCACTTCTGACACCAATTTGTTATGTCTCCATTCGTTAGTTAATTTTCCGTAACTTCGTTCCGACGAAACTTTAGCGACACAAGTCCTTTCTTAAATAAAACTGGTTTATTCTTTCCGAATACAACTTTACGATACACTCAACTTTAATATTCGCTCTGTAACAAACGCCTCACGAGCTCGACTTCAACAATACTCCGTTGAATTACACACTCTCTCTGACTGCAGTTCAATTACTCATTACACTGTTGTCCCGTCACGTTGTGAGCGTATTATATATATACCAGACTAACATATATCTAGTAAATGCTAGGGCATTCTTGAAGGAATAGGATATTTCTAGAAATACGTGGCGTGATACTAGTCACGTGACCTCGCTGACGCAACAATATGTTAGTTGTAAGTGTGCTCTTTTCAGTAGTGACCTTGGCGTCAAGAAAGGGTATAGATTTCCGGACGTTATCAGTATGAATAAATGTGAGCTATATATCGGGATGCTGGTTCAAGATTAATTTAAACTTCCACTGAACACTTATTGTTTTTCTTTTAAATGATTACAGCTTCAGTTAATATTTCTTTGTCACCTCTGTTAACTTGATACCGCCTACATATATTTCCCTGATTATTATTATTAAATTACTATTTTCTCATTCTCTGAATTTGTGTTTATTACTTTTCTGTGTCTTTATAATTTCTAAAATCTAATTTCTCTCACTTTAATACTTGTTTTCCATTTTAAAACTAAACATAAAATTAAAATCGTAAAGGCGACAAAGATATCAAAATTAAATAATAGGTTGAACAATTGCCATGTTTTTATATTATTATTATTCAAAGAAAGATGACGTTTCGATCTAGCTCTCTTTGTCAGATAGTACAGCTTACAAACGTGCATGCGCAGAATTTAAAGAAATTGCGTGCGTAGTATTTGGAATGTTGAGCGTGAAATTTCTGAGCAAAATTATATCTATTACATAAAAGTTACAAGACATGAAAAAATAGATCAGATAGCAATTAAAATTTAAACAAAAAAGGGAAAAATTAAAATCTACAGGAAAGAAAAGTGTTCATTTAAACCAGATGGTTGTAGGGTTCCCAGATTGTAGATTAAACTCCTTTCCAGTCGTTCTCTTTTGTGAATGTCTGTTGGAGCACCAATAAGTGCAAGAATCGAAAGTCCTGAATTGTATGGTTGTTAATGGTGAAATGTTTGCCTATAGATGTATCCTGGTTCTGCAGTTTAATATGGTTGATGTTCTCGTGTTTCATCACCGGATCTGTGGTCTATTTGTCCAATGTATAAACTATTGCATTTTTGTGCATTGTTTGTTTGTTTTATTTTGATTTCGCGCAAAGCTACACGAGGGTTATCTATTGAACAGTGTAAGACTAGAGGGAAGGCAGCTAGTCATCACCCTCCACCGCCAACTCTTGGGCTATTCTTTTACCAACAAATAGTGGGAATGACCGTCACGTTATAATGCTAGCATGGTAGGACGGGAATTCGAACCCGCGACCCTCAGATTGTGAGTCGAGCACCCTAACCACCTGGCCATGCCGGGCCCATTTTTGTTCAAATTAAACAGTACATGATACATTCAGTGATACATGGATTGTCTTATGTCG